GAGGAGAGTATGGGGCGAGAGAGCGCTACAGATGAGAGAGCGCCAGACAACAGCCTGATAAGAGAGCTCGTTCGCTGCAGCTTCGAGCAGCTTACTTTGCAAGGCCCAAGCGCTCTTGTCGGTCGAATTCCGTGCACGTGAACGCCACATTTGTGATTGTCCCCTAGGGTTCTATACTTCTGACCGAAGAGAAGCGTTCACACGACCTCTGCCTGGGTTGTGCCTTTAAGTGGCAGTTAATTATAACTGTAGATGACACCAATTAACCTCAGCACACTTTTGCATCACGGGTCCAGGTTCTCAGAACCATTTGAGCGGTTGGTGATCCTTATCACATATTTGGAGTGCTCTTCTGCGGCGGACTGCAACTTATTGCCACTGAATCTCGTCTCTCCCAGATAGCCGAACGAGAAGTCGTGGGGGCCATGTCCGGACTACAGGGTGGGTGGCCCATTAACTGGTTAACGCATTTTTTGAATGGCAGCCATTGCACTTCGGGACATGAGAACTGGAGCGTTGCCATGCGGAAGGAACACTCCACGCCGAATCTTCCGCGACCTTCCTTGCTCCAATAGCGCAGAGGTTCGACGTTCGATGAATCTTGGCATCGTGTGTGGTATTCGTATCAGATTGCTTCTGAAGCCACAAGCCAAGATGATACAAGACTTTATTTGGCTAACGTTTCGGCTTGGTCGCCTTCGTCAGAGCCTGGAAAGTCAAAGATCAGTGCGACCTACCGCAGACATCATTTCCAACTTCGAAACAGTCCCCATAGACTAGAAGCATCTAGGGGGCATCGTAAAACACAAACACCAGTCGACTCACCTTAGATGAAGGCGACCAAGCCGAAACGTTAGCCAAATAAAGTCTTGTATCATCTTCTTCAGAAGCAATCTGATACTTCCTTGCTCCCTCCTTGTTTGAATTGCGAAGCTGCCAAATTAGATTTCCTAATGCTGGCCTGCCACCTTATTTTTTCGTTGTCGGTTATGGAACAACTGGATTCCGTCTGCCTCCCGAGAATGGTTGCCACAACCTTCTTTGCTCAGGGTTCCATATGAGCTTTGACTAATCTCACTCAGCATGTTCCCACAGGGCACTTTGTGGTTTTGACTCTGGGTCGTAGTGGCACAACCACAACTCATTACCGGTTACCATACTGCGCAGAAGGCCTTCTTTATCATCCTTGAAAGTGACAGAATCTCTTTGCAATGCGATTTTCCCTCTCGAACGGTGATAACGTTTCGGACCCTACGTGCCGTGAAGTTTTTCATGCCAAGGCTGTCATGTAGGGTCGCAGTGCTTCGTTTCTGTGATTCGTGGTCCCTGCTGTTAATCTTCTGATTGAAATTCTGTCCAACAAGATGACCTCCCTGCAGCCTAAGTTCCATATATTTATGTCACCTGTCAAGGCAGACCCGGATCTCTGTTCATTTCTGATCGAACTTCTTTCTTGGCGAAACTCATAGACCCCTCGCAACACTTGTCTATAGGGAAGGTATACTCATTATGTGCAGCAGTGTATGTTCATAAATTGCCTACAATTCTATAGAACAAAATGGAGTTACCGTATCCATAAACCATAAGCCAATCATCAGCACATGTAAAAAATTGCTGTTTTCGATTGACTAAACGCATTTTCTTACAATTTGCAAACAATCACGGAAGACCTTGAGATAGTTGGACGGGCAGTTTCCTGAATGACTTTCGACTTTTTCAGGTTCTGAAAAAGGTGAAAGCACCACGTGCTTATTAAAAGCTAATTATCAAATCTTGGTTGGAAGCTTAGCAACCACACTATCATATTCTAGACAAGGCCAAAATCTATACATACAAAGTCGAACTTGGACGCTACTTCGAGACCTTGAATTATACAAATGTCACGACGAGTAGTATGAACACAGTCAAACATATAGACCCCATGAATATTACCCGCCTTTGAGAAATCCCTTGTCACATAGATTCGATCACCCGTAGTTTTATTTCGCATTGCAAGTACACGGATAGAGGCGCGAATATGGGCTCGACACGCCGTGACGCACCAAGCACTTCTCTGCCAAGGGGCTTCCTTTGTGAGGCTGACGGTTTTGGACCTCCTATTTGTCAATAATGTGTAAGCCCCATTATTACCTTATATTTTTTATTTATTTTGAGATCTGCAGCATTCATAATGGATGGTGCACCCAGCTGAACCTTAGCGTTTCCCTTTTTCTAAGCAGAAGAGAGTGACACGCGAAGTCAAACAACACTCACCGTGGGGAAGGCAAAAAATGAGATCCGATCGACTTGATTGCCGAAATCGAGGAGCCGTCGTTTCTTCTTCAAATAGTTCAGTCGCCGTCTAGCCGCGATTTCCCGTTCAAGCGAGTTTGCTTCAGAAGAAATCTTGTCAGAATTTATAGATAAGGCCTGAAAGCAATAAAAACATTACCCGAGCGTCAGACCTTGAAGGGAATGTATGCTTATACGAAATACACTGCGTTTCATAATTATAGGTCCACCCTAAATTTTTGCTACCCCAAAGTTGCTGTGCATTTTTTGGAAATGCTGCTATCACCGTTAGATTCCTCATCACGGAAAACCTTCATAGTGTTTTTCTGACAAAGTTCCCCCCTCAAGTAACCCAATTAACTTTTTCAGAACGAATTTTCACCGTTTCATGAATATCGGGCCACTCATAAAAAGTTTCCATTTCTCATGATCCGTGAAGGGAATCAGGGAAGCGGGGATATATGTGAGCTTCAGTCGACGTCGAGTTTGCCATACCTCGTATTACTCGTATCTCTTCCCAGTGATAAGCTCAAACCAGAGCCCTTACTGAAGTTTGATGGCTGAGAAGCAGAACTGCCTCCCATGTCGGCCGGCTCATGATGCATAAGCAACTATGTGCGAAATCCCGGTCTGTGCGGGAAGAAGAGTAGCCTTGGTAAATAATGACAGCGTTTCATTGAAAATCAAGAGGAATTGGGCGTCTTCTGTCGAATTGGATAAGGCGTCCGAACAAAGTCCGTGCTGAAATGCGGCCTTCCGTAAGCAAAACCACCGTGTTGTGAATAAGCCAGCAGAGCAATGACATCTTCAGCGGATTGAAGAAGCGCGTCCCAAGATTATTTGAGCGCTACAAGATCGCACGTCTCCATTTCTAGGTGGAAAAGGGCTCAAGTTAATGAACGAAGGTGTGGCTGCCAGGACCCTTCGTGATCTTGGACTCCACCTCCTCGTTTCATGCTACGGGTGATCTGGAATCGGCGTGAAAAAGTTTATTCTAAGTGGATCTGATGGAAAATGAGGGTACAGGAGGGTTCCGTGAAAATCGCAGATGGTTTCGAAGTAAGGTAATTTTGGCGGAGAATTCCTTGTGGTTTGAGGCACCTTTGAACGACTGAGCGGCTAGAGCTCGTATTTGTTTCCTTTCACGAGGATTCCATAGGGTATCGTTAAGTCCTTCTGAAGCGACTTTTACCATCTTTTCCGACAACAGCCCTCTCGAACCTTGATTTTTACGCACGATAACGCAGCTGTCCATGCCGGTCCTTACACGCCAGATGGAAGTGCAGGAAAAAATGTGGCAGTTATCTATTGGCCACCATGTTATATGAATCAGTTTCCAATGGAGAATCACAGGGCCTTAATTGTTATAAAGTTCCACAGCAAAGAAAAGCAAAATGGAACAGCCGAAGAGCTGAAAACGTCGATCATCAGCGCGCAGGCAAATTTCGATCCCATTGTAATAGCTAATTTGGTTACCAGCATTCCAAAACGTATTATTGTGTTTCTTATGACTAATGGAGGACCACCACATTATTGAAATTTTTTTACGTTTTTTTGTTGTAATAAAATCTTTCGACAAGTAATGTGTAGTCATATTTGCGAAACGGTGAAAATACGTTCTAAAAAGATATTTCAATAATTCTGAATCGAGATTTCTCCAAAAATCGAGTATCAAGGTTTTTCGTTATGGGGAAACTATTGGTAATAGCGGCATTTCCCAAAAATGCGCAGCAACTTTGGAAGTAGCAAAAATTGAGGGTGGACCTATAATTATGAAACGCAGTGTATACGAAACAAAAATCGATTACATGCATTATTAAATAGCACACAAAAACCGGCACGTAGCCAGAGAATGAACATCACCAGTTTGAGCTTCTTTTGGCCTACATTTAAAAAATCATTCACAGTTGTGCGATGGTACGAAAACTCCATGTTACGGTCGGTAATCGGAACTGCGATAACCTCGGGAGCTCTGAATTCATATTTTCGACCTTTAAAGTGGGGGAGTCACAAACGTCGTCAGTTCTTCGCCGTTCTATCCATCGTTCAGGGAATTGGCTCTTCTTGTCCGTCGACGAATGGCACAATGTTCTTCATTAGGGCCAGCATAGCATTCGTTGTATTTCCCGATCGACTTGACTTCAGTAGCAATTTTTTGTCTAGATGAATATTATCTTGAAAAGAAAACCGAGGATTTTCGAGAATGCGATAGTGCGAACACTACCTGATAGGCGACGAATGCCAGCTCAAGAAGTGAAGCGAAAATGAAGGCAACACATGTGAACATCCAGATGTCGATTGCTTTGATGTAGGAAACTGGTGGCAGTGAACGTATGATGTTACCAAACTGAAGAAGAAGGAGATTGTACATGTGTTAAGATTTCACTTTCACTGGAAATGAAACTAAGAAAGGTGAAAACTACCTGAAAAGTGAGAGACATGAGCGAGTTCACCCCAAGTAAAATACGGGCGCCGTAAGGCTTTTGAATCGATACAAAAAGCGAACCATGAGATAAATACGGAAATGTACGTCGGAAAATACATCTGAAATCGATGAAGGTAGCTTTGAATGAGAATCTCAGAAAAATGTCTCCATAGTTGATGATCCTTTATCGAGCCTTTTAGAAGTC